AGTGTGACAGAGAGAGTGAATGTGAGAGAGAGAGAGGAGAGGGGGAGAGTGTGACAGAGAGAGTGAATGTGAGAGAGAGAGAGAGAGAGTGTGTGTGTATGTGCACCTATGTGTGTATATATACTTTACACACATACAAAACCACATACACACGCAGGGAGTTCTAATGGCTTAGTGGTAAGGAGTTGTGCAGCCAACCCAAAGGTACACGGCTCAAATACACCAGCTGCTTCCAAGAGACAAAGACAGGCAGTCTCTTGTGTGAGCCACAGTGTCTGAAAACCCGCTGCAGGGTCAGCTAGGAGTCAGTTCCGGCAATACCGATACATCACCTTCTATTATCAGTATGTCTAACACACAAAGCTACAGTGAGTGACTTGCAGATCCTATCATTCTCCAAATGTGCACGGGAGACAGTGGAAATGTAGCACAGCCTAAGTCTAAGACAACCACATCAGAAATCAGGAGTGACCAAGATTCAGGGTCGCTACAAGTCATACTCTGCTTGATGGAACCTAACAACAGCGGTATTCATACGCTGCACTAATGTAAAAAAATACAAGCAAGCGGCAGGCACCGTCTGAGATAATTCGGAAAGCTGTCCTCACCTAGGGACATGAGGTTGCTGTAGTTCTCCAGCATCACATCCTGGTAGAGGTTCCTCTGCACAGGGTCGAGCAGCTGCCACTCCTCCCAGGAGAAGTCCACGGCCACATCACTGAACGACAGCACCTGTGACAACATGCTCTTTCTAAATCGCCAGTTAATATCACCAAGTTCAGGGGGGGGAAACCTAGAGGAGCCTACCAGAAATACTTTCACTTGGAAATTACAGGCACACCTGTCTGCTCACCAGGCTTTGTTCTACATTTGTGGATTAAATCCCTTTAAAACTATCTTTTCTTTTTTAATGATTTCTTCACTCTTTCTTTCATAAAATGTAAAACACTTGTTGAGATCTCTCTTATCACACTGTACGTATTAGAAATACTTTCAAAAGAGACAAGAACAACATGGCCAGCTCTCCAGGAGCTTCTGACGTTCCTAAGTGGCCAGTACTTAACAAGGTATTACAGTTTAACAAGCTTTATGGCCAAAGTGTCATGGTGGTGCAATGGTTAAACATTCGGCTGCTAACTCAACGTTCAGCAGTTCAAACCACCCAGCAGTGATGCGGAGGAAAGACCTGGTTCTCTGCGTCCAGGAATATGCAGCCTAGGGCACCCCAGGAGGGCATGCTACTCTATCACATGGGGTCATGAGTCAACAGTAACCAGTAACATGGTAGAAGTTTATTCAGGCTCCAACGGGGATATGAATTGGGAAATAAATCTGCTCTCAAAAGGAGCCGGGTGGGAAAGCCTTGTCTATTGTGGGGACTAGTGACTTTCACAGTAACAGACAGAAGAGATGGGGAGTGGGAGGGTAAGGGCCTTCCAGAAGGGAGCAGCATGCATAAAGGTATTAATGAAACACACGCTGTGTTCCAAGAACTACCGTTTAGTAACACATCGGGAGAGGCTGCGGGGACGGGGGTCACAGTGCAGGAACTTAACATGGCTCTTCTAGCCAGAGCCCTCCACGGTGTGATACGCTATAACTCCTGTCCCCCAGGGAGCTCCAGTGGCTCAGTGGGAAGGGAGGTGCCCGCAAACACAAAGGCAGGTAGTTCAGATCCACCAGCTAATCCGAGAGAGAAAGACGGGCAATTCCTTCCCATGTGAGTTATGGCCTCTGGAAAGTCACTGGAGAATCAGCCAGGACTCAGTTCCACCCAGGTGATGTGCACCGAGTGACCCTCTCAATGTCTGTGGTTATGGTGCTGTTTTGAAGTGAGCTGTCCATCACGTGAAAGGACAGGAGTAGGGATGCTACCCCGGTCACTGCCTCATCGGAAGGTGTAACTCAAGTCAACACCCTTCGTGTCTCTGAGGACATGGTCTGCATCGTGTCTCTACGAACACTCTGGGATAGCCCCTCTCTCTTGCTCTAGATCTTGGAGGTGCCTTGTTCTTTCTTGATGTCTGGTTCTTGGAACTTGAGCCAGCAGCCTAGCACCTGGCCTGCTATGTCAGCCTCCTGGGTCTGGTGAGCCACAGTCTGTCATCTGTCCTGCTCATTTGGGTCCATCAGCCTCTGCAACCAGCGAGTCTGGAGAAGACTGCAGACTGGTGCCTGAGCCACGGCTGCTGGGCTTGCCAGCCTCCACAACAACGTACACCATTGTCATGACAGTTCATGAGTTCTCCGAGATGCTGCAGAGAATTACCAACCCAAAGATCGGAGCTCTGGTGGCTGGTAGCTTAGTGGGTGAGGCGTTACACTGCCAACCCAAAGGCAGGCAGTTCAAATCCACCAGCTGCTCTGCGGGACAAGGACAGGCCATCTCCTCTCTTGCTAGTCACGGCCTCTGAAAACTAGCTGCAGAGTCAGCTATGAGTTGAGTGCAACTCCACAGCCATGAGTTCAAAGACGTAATGGACAGGACTGAGGGAAGGATTAGCTGGAGGAATCGTACGACAAAGTTGCACATCTGACACATCTTAACATCCTCCTCGTAAGAACTAGCTTCGTACAGATCTTTCTAAAAGAAATCATGCAGGGGCCAAAGCAAACACGAGCGCAAATAACAAGACTAAGCTTCTGACGAAATATCCGTATTTCTGCAGCCACTGTGCTAAATACCTCACTGGTTTTCACCCACCGGAGTGTGGAGAGCTGACTACCGTCTACAAACTGTGTTACAGATTAAATCATGATGACGGGTCATCACTGCAAACCGTTTTTATATTAACACTGTAATCCTCACTATGACTGTGGCAATGCGATTAATTTCTTCTTTTCAAAGATTAGAAAAAAACCAAGAGTTTTTTAGCTGTGCGTTTAGCAACTCCCAAGGAGCTGTGGTGGCGCTTGCGGTCAAAGCATTCAGGGGCGAACGGACAGGTCGGTGGTTCAAATCCACCAGCCACTCGTGAAGGACAAGTCTTCTACTGTAAAGATGTGCAACCCAGGGAATGCCACTGGCAGGTCCACTCCGTCCTACAGGGGCGCCAGGACCTGGAATCCACTTGATTCAAGTGGGTGTGGTTTCCCAGCCCCCTTCCAGTATCTCCCCCTGTCCCTTAAGAACTGCTCCCTGGATTGACTGTGAAAAAGAATCAGGAGGAAGATGAAGGCCCGTCAACGGCATTTTATGGACCTTAACAAAGTCAGTCTTGTGACTTCTTTTTATTCTTGATAAGAGTAAGTAAGAAAAAAAGACTACTTTTTCAGCTTTGGATCTTGCCCTTAATGTACCGAAGTTCTAATTACTGGCACTTTGCAGGAGCTCTGATAAGTAGCTGGCGAAGGGTTAAGGAGCTGGGCTGCCAACCCAGAGGCAGGCAGTTCGAATCCACCAGCTGCTCCATGTGCCAAAGATGGGCAATCTCCTCCCATGTGACTTCCGGCTTCTGAAAACCCACTGGAGGGTGAGCTCTGCCTCGGTTCTGCCTCGGGCAGTGAGGGAAGGAATGCAGTCACCCTCCTGACTGGCTGACTCCCAGAGTCAGCAGACCCCTCCCAGGTACCACTCACAAATATCCACTGTCCAGTCTGATCATGCCCAGGGTCAGAAACCTCCAGAAACCCCCAAGACAGCACACTGGGAAATAAAGCGAGCTCACCTGGGCCTGGGTCATCTTCAGTATCCCTGGGCAAGCACCCGGCACCCCCAGGATCTGTGCTGGGGAGGCGGCCTCTCATTCAGGGTCCTCTCAGGAACGTCTTGACTTGATTCCTATGTCTTCAATTATAGCAGCTGCCTGACTGGAGGAAACCCCTGTGCTCAAGCCAAGAGGAGCTTTATCTGGCAACAGTAACAACAGACAGAAGATGTTGCTACATATTGACTCTTTCAAATGTTACTGTCCCTTAGAACAATTCTACCTTCTTGTCACTGTTAGATGCCATCAATCAACCATGCCTCATGTTGTTGTTACTGCTGTGAACCTCAGGGTCAGGTTTTCTAAGGCTGTCAATCACACCAGAGGAGAGCCCGCCCATTTTCCCTCCCACAGAGCAGCTGGTGGATTCCAACCACAGGCCTTTGGTTTGGCAGCGCAGCTCCTTGCCACCAGGCCACGAGGCTCCTAATGACCCTGTGAACAGAGCTGAGCCTTGTCCTAACCTGTGCCAGCCCCACCCTCTCTGACAGGCCTGCACCCACTGTTACAAGCACTGGGCCAATCTGTTTTGTGGGGAATCTACCTCTCATCCCCTAATCCTTGACCTTTCCCAGCACAACCTCTCTCTCTCTCCAAGGACTGGTTCCTCCTGGAAACAGGCCCAAAGCCAGCCAGCTCTGGTAGCCCAGGGGGTAAAGAGTTGTGCTGTCAACCCAAAGGCAGGTGGCCGCGCCACAGGAGAGCAGTGGGCAATCTCCTCCCGTGCAATGTGCAGCCTCAGAAACCCAATGGAGGATCAGCTACGAGTTGGTTCCGACCCCACAACAATGAGGGAAAATAACTCTATGAAGTATTTTTTTAAAAAAAGATTCACCCCGAACATCAAACCCAGGGCTGTCAAGTGGATACAGCTCTCAGTGACCTGCCGGACAGAGCAAAACTGACCCACAGGCTCCCGAGGCTGCGGACCTTTATGAGAAGCCTCCTGAGTCATAAAGCCTCGTCTTCCTCCCATGGAGCGGCTGGTGAGTTCGAACCACTGATCTGCTGGTCAGCAGCCTAGCGCTGAACCCACTGTGCCTGCCACAGGGCGTCTCCTAAAGATCAGGCTGTAAGTAGCCCAAAAGAGCCCTGGTGGCACAGGCACTTGACTATTAACTGAAAGGTCAGGGGTTCAAACCCACCAGTGGCTCAGGGAGAAAAAAGGCGTAGTGTTCTCACCTAAAGATTACAGGGAAAAGCAAGGGGGAAGGGGGCAGACAGAAGAAGGGGAGGGGAGAAAAATCACTGGGATAGCAGAGGCTGGCAGGGCATGGTAAACAGGAAAGGGTTAATGGACACTTGAAAAGACAGTGCTAAAGGACATGACCAATGGTAATTATTAAAAATTAATGACTATGGAAGCAACTTAAGTGCCCATCAACAAACAAATGGATAGAGAAACTGTGGTATATCCACACAATGGAATACTACGCTGCATTGAAAAACAGGGAACTCATAAAATATTATTCAAAATGGGTGACTCTGGAGGACATGATGCTGAGTGAAATATCTCAGTCACAAAAGGACAAATACTGCATGGTGCCACTGTTGTAGAATGGGTCTGACATCAGGGCTGGGGTAAGACTGAGAACAAACTGGATAAATGATGTATACTGTATTGAAACAGATGAGGGAAAGAACAGATTAGAGGTGATATATGATTGAGTATTATGGTTAGCACAGGAATCTAGAATTAAGGTTGCATAGAGAAGTGTACTCGGGGAGGGGGTGGGGGGAAGGGATGGAGGAATTAATTGTACACCAATGAAGGAAATTTTTTTTCTTTTTCTTTTTGGAGAGGGGAACGAACTAGTAGGGAGTGGTGGGCAGGGAAAAAAGTGTGAAAAAAAATTGTCAGATAAAGCTTCAAAATTGATTAATGTAATGAATTCATTATAATGTCCAATCAACCCCTTATTGTATCTTACATTTATCTACACACAATGTAATTTATTATTTTACGCTTTCCCTTGTAATAAAAATTTACAATGGAAAAAATGACTAAAAAAATAAAAGGCACATATGTGAATGATT